TAATGCTCAGTTTAGTTTAATGGTACAACATCTAGTAGACTCTGAAGTAATTCCGATATTAACTCCGTGCATACCTATGCCAAACACTGAAAAACAAACCCGCAATAACCCAAATAGATAACTTATTTATGTTGAGCTGTTCTCGACGAGAACAAGAATAGGGTGAGAGCGTACTGACAATTATAGAATGCTTGAAAAGTAGAATTTAGCATTTCGTAGACATATGGTTGGTCTATATGATACAAAATTATCATATCGTTTATAATATTTCATACCATAGTGCAATTGAAAAAAGGAATGATATATATGTTAAATGAAGTTCTAGATAAATGTATAGAATTCTGAATTCTGCTTAGAAAGTATTCTGCGTCCTCTTAGTCGAGGATATCATGAAACTTTATTAAAGGGAGCACAAGTTTTAAGTAGAGTGCGATGACTTCGTTGGTTTTTCAAATTTACGAGACGATTTCACGTAGGGATAGACAGAATCGTCAAAAATTGACTTTAGTTGTGGCCTAGAGTATTTGAAATTGCCCAAAATTCAGTGACATGATCTGTTCGAATAAATTATGTTCAATTAGATTAAATTCTTAAACACTGAATAAAATACGACGATTGAATACTGTGTATATGCCAGTACAGATGTAAGACTAAATGTTTTGCATTCAATAGCTTGCAATAATATGTTTCTTAATCAAACTACTTACGCAAGTGGTGCTTACCCATGGTCAGTAGCAGTCGCCGATGTGAATAGCGACAATAAACCCGATATTGTTGTTGCAAACTATGGCGATAGCACCGTCAGCGTTCTTCTCAACGCAGGCAATGGCACTTTTAAGGTTCAAACTACTTACGCAGTTGTTAGTTACCCTCAAGGAGTAGCAGTCGTCGATGTGAATAGTGATAATAAACCCGATATTATTGCTGCAAATGAGGGTGCGAATTCCGTCAGTGTTCTTCTCAACAGAGGCAATGGCACCTTTAATGCACAAAATGCTTACGCAACTGATGGTAGACCATATTCAGTAGTAGTCGTCGATGTGAATAGCGACAATAAACCCGATATTATTGTTGCAAACGTTGGTTCGAACAACGCCGATGTTCTTCTGAACGTTGGCAACGGCACCTTTAATGCTCAAACTGCTTACCCAGTTGGTACTAGTCCAATATCAGTAGCAGTCGTCGATGTGAATAGTGACAATAAACCAGATATCATTGTTGCAAACTCTGGTCTGAATAACGTCGGCGTTCTTCTCAATGCAGGCAACGGTACCTTTAATAATCAAATTACTTACGCAGTTGGAACTAACCCATATTCAGTAGCAGTCGTCGATGTGAATAGCGACAATAAACCTGATATTATTGTTGCAAACTATGTCGATAACACCGTCAGTGTTCTTTTCAACGCAGGCAACGGCACCTTTAATGCTCAAAATGCTTACCCAGTTGGTATTAATCCAAGTTCAGTAGTAGTCGTCGATGTGAATAGCGACAATAATCGCGATATTGTTGTTGCAAACTATGGTTCGGCCACCGTCGGTGTTCTTCTTAACACAGGCAGTGGTACTTTTAATGCTCAAACTATTTACGCAGTTGGTGATGCTCCCAGATCAGTAGCAGTCATCGATGTGAATAGTGACAACAAACCTGATATTATTGTTGCAAATGAGAATTCGAATAACGTCGGCGTTCTCTTGCATTGTTAAGTCTTACCGATGACTAACCTTTATCTATTCATTAACATTTTACTACTCTACTAAATATATTACTCCTATAAAACATTACACAATACAGACTAACATTTATCTTCACTCTATATTAAAAATTTTAACAAAAATTCTCTGCTTTTTTTTCTGTCGTTTCTGCTTTTTCACTTTTTTCTGCTTTTTAAAATATTATCTGCTTTTCATTTTTAACTCAATTTCAGTTCTAATAAATCATTATTTCATACATATCCGATGAATTCTTAGTAATGTATATTGTTGTTTTTATTGTCGTCTTTATTGTATAATGGAAATTCATAAAATGGTAATTCCGGATTTCTAATAGTTAATAAAAACGACCAATCTATACGCCACTTGTTGAGGCTATTCTTTACGGATATTTTTCTTTCTGAAGTATTTTCTACCAATCATCCAAATCTTTCAATTCATTGTAAACAATCTTCTGTCTATTGTTCATTGTTAGTTAAGAATATAATCAGCTGTAATATTTGTATTTAGCGGAAAAAATGACTGATGCTGATGATAGCCATATTGATTAAAGATGAAGATAGGAAAGCATTAGTAACATTCTAATCACAAATATTATTTAGCGATAAATCGAAAAAAAGAAGTTGAAAAAGGAATATTTAACATAGAATGGTTAAAAATCACTGAATATGAATAATTTTTGAAAAAGACACATTGATGATCCTTTTACTTTTAGGAAATTGCTACTCGCATATAACTCATAATGCTGTTAAGCATGCTCATTGTGAATTCTCTATGAATGTGGAACAAATTTTACTATCGACCTATACTCATTTTTCACGTTCTGAAAAACGCATTAGTGAATTAAAAGACTACTATGATTTCTATGAACAAGATTACAAAATAAAAATTTCTCGAATGATGTTGTTACTAACAAGCAACAATTCTACATATATCTTTTTTGTTGCAGGTGATCATGAAACATATAAAACTTAGATGGTTGAGTTTATACTCATCCTTTGAACGTTTAGTGGAAATCTATGTACGTGTGAAAAAGTATTTCCTTAATCGTCATGATAAATGTCTATTAGGTATGAAACAATTCTTCCAGTTTGATGAGGTTACGTGTGTATTGAGCTTTTTACAGCATATATTATTTGGGCTTTACAGAAAAAACCTTGAACTACAACGTTGTTATACAACAGGTGTCGATTTGCACAGAATAATTACGTCCATTAAAAAAACTTACAAAAGCGAGTTGATTCACAATATTTTGGTGCAGCTTGTCGATATAAATGATCACTTTCATCATCTAATGAATAGGAAGTTTTAAAATTATCTTTTGTGAAATTTCTACATGCAACAATTAATTATCTTGATTCTTACTTCAATAAAAATATCAATTTTTTGCGATCAATCAGCTATTTTGGACAAGCAAATATTCAATATTTATCATGAGATCAAGTTGTACAATGTGTTGAACAAATTAAGATCAAAGGTGGATGTGTGGGTTAGGGTTCGAATATTCATTCTTGACACCTACGCCTTCACCCAAACCCACACTCGCCCCCATACACACCCTCGATTCAATTATATTTCATGGCATTTCAAATATCTAAGGGCATTTAAACAGAATTTGATGTATTTTTAACTACTTTGATATACGCTTTTTTTAAGTGTGCTGTTTCTGCGAATAAGAATGTCTCGATCAAGAGAATCGACTTATTTCATAGAGTAAGTCAACTAGTCTCACAGGGTAATTTCATTTTGTAGTAAAATAAATTATTTCATAGATTGGAATAACTTCGCTTGTACAACAAGTGGGACGCTAGTCTTCATAAGATAAGTCTCAAATTCGAAAACAGCGTGCTAAGAATATAATGAAAAACAACATATTACACATTTAAAACATGTGTTTTTTATTTGCCATGACATGATTCCGTCTGCTTCTCTAATGACACTCATATTTCCCTTAATTCATTGGACTCCTCAAAACGAGTACCATAAATATGATACTGAGAGATATTAGAAAACGGCGATATACACAACTATTCAATGGGAAAGTATTCCTTTGTTTTGTTCTTTTACGATTCCTTTAATAAAAGAACAATAAATATGGGTGAACATAGTTTCTTACTATCGCCTTTTTAGCAGCTAAGTGGAAATCCTTGGCTGTGATCAGAAGTATCATATTCTCACATTTTTTATACACCATCGTATCGCTAAACTTCAATCAATCAAGACGGTACTTCTATCTATTTGTACAAGAAGCACATTTGTTATATATCTGCTTCGTCGAAAAAGATTTCGTTGGATACAGTTTTTCGCCTCGGAAGCTGCGGAAAAAGTGAGGGTGATTGGAAAAAAATTCTTTCGATAAAATGTGTTTTGGCGAAGAGAAACAGAACCCGACATTTTGTCGTTGGTTTTTTCTTCTACCTTTCTTCTTTCGAACACGTAGTTGCACCATCAAAAGAAAAAACCAACACTCGTCAAATAAAAGCAACAAAACATCATACATTTCAACAGTTTCTTTCAGAGGCAAACAAAATCATGACAAGTTTGATTACATTACCGGTAGAGCTTGTCTACCGAATTTTAGACCATGAGAGTGATTTCACACTGCTGTGTTCTATGCGCAATGTGTGCCAGCGACTCAACCAAATTATCGACACATACGATCGATATCAGGTAAGGCATTTTCTTATTATACTCGGCTAATGTTCGTCAATCTTCAAATTTTTTTCACCCTTACGATCGTCAAGCTTGATAAAATAGTAGACAATTAGTCTATTGCGATATGGGCTAATCTATAAGTCATCATGTCCTCTACTCATAAGAGGGTTAAGTCTCAACTTGGTACTCGAACAAATATTCCCTCCATGCTCCTTCGTTTTTCTTTTATCCGTTAGCTGATACTGAGTGAAAGTCTTAACAGGTGTGGATGAGTGCAGGTATCATAATAGATGAAACTATACTAAAAGTGCTTGAAAGAAAATAGAGCAACAGGTCGACAACTTCACTCAAGCCTAAACTAGAAGAGGTTATAAGTGAAATTCGATGAAAACTTAATGAGACACAGACGTACAAGTGTATCGCCACTGAGTATTTGAGATGGTAGATTGGATCATATTCGCACTCAAGGCTACAGTGGAAGCAGTGGTAGGTGAGTTTCGATGTGAACTTACCTGGAAAAAAACGGATGGCATATAAAGCCATTCAGGCAACGAAATTGAAACCCTCTTGAAGGTTTAGCACTAATATCAGGCCTTTCCATAACACTTACTAAGGCTTCAAAAACCTCTTTCGAACATTTCGTGAGAAAGCTACGAAATCTAAGAAAAAGTTTCAGATTCGATGCAATCTTCGAAATCCTACTTGATTTTAACTGATGCCATTTTTATATTTAGAGCAGAGCGCCATACACATACAAGTGAAGTGACACTGAAACTGTTTGAGAGTGGCACAGAGGAGTTCACTCCAATTAAACCTATCTCTGACACGATAAGTTTTTGGGACTACGGTGAAAACCTCTGTGTGTTCCTGAGTAATGCCTAGCGACTTCCATCTCCTACCATTCACAACTTTAATTCAATCTCAATCAGTACAGAATCCATATAGAACATTTATGACAAGGGGAAAAGCAGATCCCGATAAATGTCAATAGGTCCTAATAAACCCTGATAGATTCCTTCAATCCCAGTAGTACCAGCAAGAGGTAAAGCTCAAATTTCGGTGAAACCAATCGAATCTCCGAATCCAGCGAGATTCAGAGACTCGCCAAGATCCTGGAATCTCCTGATCCGGTTTTATCCTTGGCATAAGATCTTCTATCCATGTCGTACAAACACCGATTCAGAACACTACAAAACCGCAATCATTCTGAAATCTTTTTTCATAGCCTTTTACAAAAACTTCATACAGACACTCACTACACTGCATCTCTACAGCAATGAAATCGGTGACAAAGGAGAAGAACATCTAGGTGATGCACTACGAAATAACACCGTAATATTCATTCACTCTTCCTGTATTTCACATAACTATTTGTATCTTCTCATACAGGCACTCACCACACTGTACGTCCAGTGGAATAAAATCGCAGATGGAGGGGCAGAACACCTCGCTGATGCATTACAAAATAATACAGTAAGACTTTTTCACTCTTCACGTGTTTCGCATAAGTATTTATACTTTGTCATATAGACACTTACCACACTGAATCTATCAGGCAACAGAATCGGAGATGAAGTAGCACTACATATCGATGATGCAGTACGAAATAAAAGGGTTGTATTTTAAGTGAGTTGGTGTCAAACAATCACGAACATATTAATCTATCTTGTAGGAAATGAACGAGTTCAATCTTGTAGTCTGTATTTTTGTTTTTTCAGTAATCGAGTTGTATGCACAATTTTGATTTTTGTTTTAAGTTGTGTTTCTAAAATAATTAATCAAATGCGGAAATCATTGTATCTTATTTATATAAATTTAAGCTTCCACGGAATTCGGTCAAATGAAAGAAAAGCTTAAAGTGTAAAAAGCAGGATCGCTTAGAATAAAACGTAAATGGAAGTGAGAAAATGAATTTTTAAGTAGAAAATCAGAAGAATAATAAGATTTCAGTAGAATAAGTAAATCCTTAGTTCTAATTTGTTTCTGGTCAATTTCGATTGTTCTAAAAGAAAGATGAGGTGATTTAGTGTTACTTATGCTATACTTCCCAGTATTAAGTAATCTGTTCAATAGCAAGATCATCTGCTTAAAAGTCTGATGTCATTTTGGATATTATTGTGGAAGATTTTTTGATCAAGTTATTTATTCTCGTAATACAGTGTTATTATTATCATTAAATTAATGTCAATCATTATTATACTACTTATTTATTGCTGTTAAATATATGAATAAATGTAATATGTGACGCAGTATAAGATGTAATAATTGGTGGCATATGTCTATTTTAGTTATTGTTATGTACTTTGGCTAACTTGAGTCACTGAGATCTTGACATAAAGAAAACAATTAATCTATAAGAAAGGGACGTGTGCCATCTGAGTAGATAGTACAATATTGTTTCTGGTAGTTTCTTTTTGGCTAATAATAAGGTATGTATTCGATTAGGTTTTTCAGTACTGATCAGATATTTGTTTCATTGTATTTTTCGTTCTTGATATTGACTTAAAAAGTGCATAATTTATCAAGTAGGTCCACCATAACATTACATTTGCTCATTTGGAGTAATGCCGTATAGATGCAGTAGTAGAATCGTCAACCAATAATGTCCAAATTTACGATGTTAAATTAAATTTACAATCGACACTTCCATCTTAATTGAATGTAATAGTTTTATGAATTGATTAGATCCGAAGTGGCATGGTCGCTGAAGATAATAATTTTCAATGAGTAGGTACATTGACGCTGGTTTCCAATATTATTACGACCGAGTTCTGCGCTGGAAGTGAACCAAAATTTATAAAGAGCCAAATGCTCCCGAAACAATGCGGTAATATTAAATTGTAATGGTTATTTTAATTGCAGGTTGATTATTTACAATAGCACATTCACAATTTTGTCAGAACATAAGCGCTCATCTAATGCTGTATAAGTTTAGTTTGTTTCATTAGATTCTTCGTCTTTAATATTAACTTAAATAGTTTATAAGTAGTCAAGTGAATTATTTGTAGTATTAAAGTGAAAAAAAGAAAAATATTTCTTAAAATTGATTATTGATGTTTATTGAAAAGATCGAATTGTTAATTATTTCAATTTTCAACAATATTTATCAACAAAATTCATTATTGGTAGATGGTGACATTGACGTAAAAATTATACGGATTGTTCTCTTTGTTTGGTTTTCATTTTAACACATTCGAGACGATTCAGGGTCCAAAGAAGTGAACCCAACTTTTTTCAATCACCGTTTACACTATCAGAGCAATTCCATAGAGTCGACTGATAGTGCAAACGGCAATTGAAAAAACTTGGGTTCAAGAAAAGTTGGATTCACTTCCATCGACCACTTTTTATTTAAAATCAAAATAAAGAAAATGTTGAATTTTTTCATCTAAAATTGAAATGCACTCAATTTCATAAAGAAATTATGAAATATTTATTTTCATTTCTTTGAAAAATAAAACAAATCTCTTTGATATCAAAAATCCAATTTAAATTTTGGATCATTTCATAATTCTTGGTATTAATGTTTCATTTTATTTCAATTTTTTTGTTCTTTTTCTTTCGTAATTCTTGTTTTTGCTTTCCATCTAAATGAAAATGTTCATTAATTTATTTTCAAATTTATTTTTGTTGATTTCATTTTGTCAAATTAATTTTTATTAATAAACTTTTTAAAATCGAATCAATAAGATTAGAAAATGATAAAATTTGTTGATTTATTAACCCTCGGTTACTGTTGTGGGGTCCGCGTAGACCCATGTTACAAGTTTTCGTCTCAAACTACATAACTATTTCCTATTTCGAGTCATTTGTTTTTTGTAATCTCTAGGGATTGGTAGATGTACAATATCCTGATAAAAAATCATGAATAGATCTAAGAAAGAACAAATATGGATTTGGATCCAGACGGACCCCAGCACACCAATGGTCGTTTAGATATGATTTTTCGCTGTTTTATAACTGCTATCAATTGCGTATCGATTTTTTTGTTCAAATTAAATACGACCTGGTTCGTTTGCACGTTCATTTCTCATAATAGTAACTCACATTTTCTATGTAAATGGTTAAATTTTCGCTATTTTTTGATAAAAACTTATATGAGTCAATCCTTTTTCTTCGCATCGTGCGTTCTCATATTGCCTCTATAAGAAGCAATAAATAAGTCTCTAGAGAGAAAAGTATTTGGAAATTTATAATATATAAATAAATACCTAACGTAAAGCAAAACCATCGTTTTTTCTAATTTTTATGGAGATGGGTCCACGCGGATCCGAGGCTACTGCGGAAGTTATAAAATGAGAACACTAACCGAGAGTTAAACAAAAATCTTTTCAACATTTGTTTTATTCAGTAAAATACATTGCAATCCAATTTTTATTATCAAACTTTTATAAAATATTTTCTTTTCTTTTTTTCTGTAAAATTCGATTAAAATTAACAAACGATGAAGAATTTAACATTTATTGATCCAAGTTTTTCAATGAAAATTACTAATTAAATGCAAGGTTGATAAAAAAACCAAAACGATTTTTCTTCGTTATTTTCTTATCAATAATAAAACTTCGCTTTTTCTTTTATTTTTATTTCTCGATTTTTATTCAATAAAACATTTCATTTACAAAATTATTTCAAATTTTTGAATTCGATTATTATGATAATCACCAACATAAAGATTTCCTTCATGATCAAATGATAAACCCATGGGAAAGGTCAATTGATTTGATTGACTTCCTTGACCATTTCCACCAACAACAATTTCGCCTGCTTCTTTTCCTTCACACCAACGTGTTATTCGATCATTCCCCGTAGCTGCCACATAGATTTGCCCCAAATCATCAACAATTACTCCATAAGGTGATGACAATTGATTAAGATTTATTCCTTTACCATTTCCCCCAGCCACAATTCTTCCTTCTGTCGCACCTTGTCTCCATTTCATCACACGATGATTATTGGTATCTGATACATAAACAGATTGATCTTCATCAACAAAGATAAAAGTAGGATAATTAAGTTGATTAAGTTGATTTCCGTTTCCGTTTCTACCTGCCACTACGACTCCTTCAATGTATTCACCCATTTTCCATCGTCTCACTTCATTCTTCTTATAATCTGAAACATAAAGAAATCCATGTTTATCCATTGCTAAGCCAAAACAGTCAACATTATGGATGAGAACTTGCTGCTTTTGATCCAACCATTGAATCACTCGTCTGTTCCGTTGATCAGCAATGATGATCGAGTGATTTTGTTGATCAACAATCACATCTGTTGGAAAATTTAATTGATTTAACCTATTTCCTTGTTTATTTGTACCTGCAATGATTTGTCCTTCCTTTGCATCATATTTCCATTCAACAATACGATCGTTAAAATTATCAGCAATAAAAATATTTTTGTTTTTATCAATAAATATTCCCATAGGGTATTTGAGTTGATTTAATGCGGGTCCTTCCCTATTTCCACCAGCTACAGTGATGGCATTTTCTTTCCATTCGTTGAATTTTAGTCCTAGAAAATGAAATTACTTTTCAATGAAACTTTGACTTTGTTTTATGTTAAAGTTAAATTTTGAAAAAAGAATTATACTGAAAAAGAAAATAAAGCATTTGAAGTTTTGTATTTAGAAAAGAAAAAAGAATTTGAAATTTATTATTTCTCGAATCGAAGTTTTGAAGAGAAAAGATTTTGTTGATTTATTTTTTGTTAAATAAAAATTTGAAAATAACTCAAGTTTGCTTTTATCAATCAAACATATCTTTTGAATCTTAGTAGAAAATTATTTCTTAAAAACTTACTTTTTTCTAATGAAACAATTGAAATTCCACTAATAAATGGTTGAGAATCTTGTTGAATAGAAGCGTCTGGCGGATTATTTAATTCTTCTGTCATTTTTTTTAATTCGTTTCTGAAATAATTTAAATTAATCTCATTAAATTCATCTTCGTTTTGACTTTGTTTTATTTGTTCATTTAAATCATCATACTTCTTTACCATATTATCATAAGATGTTTGTGAAGATTTAGTGACAATTTCTGTGCATTCTTTTGCTTTTTGTGTAATTTTTTCAATTGAATCTATTTTCCACTGCTCAATTTGATTTATCAAAGAAATATCATGTGGATTCGGTCTTTCTTCATTAAATCTTTCTTTAAATTGTTTATAATCATCAATAATATGATGTAGTTCTTGATTTAGTATTATACGATGATTTACGAAATCCTTTATACAAAAGTTTTTCGAACATCCCACACAAAGATATGGTATTCTATCTTGATTACATATAAAACATTGTTTTTTATTGTTTTCCATTGTCATGTCTTTGAATATAAATTTCTAGAAGAAATGAATAATCTATTTATCTACTTTTCTAGATGTAAACTTAATGATTCAATGGTAATAAAAACATTGTTCAGTAGTAAAAGAAATCGAAAAAGAATTTTTCTTATGACAAAGTCTCACTGATAAAGCTAATGTGTTTTTAATTTCAAAAAAAAATTTTAAGCAATTTTCGTGATGTTTTTCAATGAAAAAATGTTTTGATGTAGATTTGCACCTATAACTTTATCCTCGAAATGGATGATGTATTAATCTCTTATCCACCCAACTGAATCGTTACGTTCATTTTAATCCAGTCTTATACTATTATCGTCATTACTCTCATTCTCAAGGTAGTTATTATGTAATATTATTTCAAAAGACTAACTTACCAAAATGAAACTATTTCAAACAATTGTATTTTTAAGGGTGTGCGATCTTGTAATTATTCCGATATGAATGTGAATTTAGTCTCTACTACTTGTAAGTGAACAGTTAAATTACTCTTTCACTACATTAACCACATATGACGACATGTCATTATCTTCCATATGTCACCATATAGTATTCTTCTCTTTTCTTTTATATATATTGTATTGTATTGCAGAGATGGAAATAATCGAAGAAATAATCACTACTCATTGTATAAATCATTGCGTTTTGTTTTTAAATCAAAGGACTATCCCTACCCTTCCAAACATCATCTTTTTCTTCGATCTTCAATAAGATTGTTATGTATCACTTTGACTTTCTCTTTTATCGATTAAATTTTTCTAACTATTTTGTAAAAGAACAACATTTGATATTTCATATGTTTTTCTGCAGCTGCATATTTGATTTGGGCTAGAAAAATTATCGAAATAAATAAGTAAAATATGGCCAAATCTAATCATAGTTAATCGAATATCCCAAAACTGTCTTTTATATATCTCAGCATCGATACATAATAAAAGTTTAATCTTTTCTCTTTTACAAGATTCACTATGAAAAGCTGTAGACAAATGATGATAGTAAATATCTGTGATGATTGAAATTAATGATCTATTTTATAATCAAAACAAAACATTTTACATAATAATACCATTTCTCATCATATTGAACATAATAAAAAAATGATTTATTGTTTAAGATATATATATGTAGAAATTAAATATATTTATTTATGAAAATTTAATGAAATAATAATAATTGAAAGATCAAAAATAATATTATTATTTATATATGATTTATAATAAAGTTAAAATCATACCAGTATTGATACGATGAGAAAGAGTCGATGAAAACGACATTTCGTAAGATTTTTAATATTGAAAAAGCGAGTCTTTATAAGTCGATATGAATATTAAAGGAAACATTAAAACTAAATATGATGATCTTGGGAGAATAAATGATATGTTCTGATTAAATAATTCGATGTATAAAATCAATAAGAATCTTCAATAGATAAGTAGAAGAATTAATCATTAATTAATTCTATACGTTAGTAATTGAATAAAATTTCATTAATAAATTATAAAATATCTTTTGTACTTATCAAATCATCAAAACTATGTTGAAGAATTTCGACAGAGGGTGAGTATGGGTGAGAAGAGAATACACCCACACCCACCCTCAAGATAGTTTTCGTACTGATGTAGAAATTGCTCAAATTTATCAATTTTATCAAGATTATTTTGTTGAAAAGTATTTTGATCAATGATTGGATTCTTCATATAATCACTTTTCTCAACATTAACAAAAACTTTTGATCCTGAACGACTGATTCATTTGTATTATCAACAATTTCATTAAGATCTCCTTTTTCACTTGATTCACTACGATTATCTATTAATATAACACTTTTTCTTTATTATTAGTCTCCTTTTGATTATGTATTTTCGATAAATCTTGTTCATTGTTTGGTCTATTTGGTGTTGGTATAATAACCTCTCTCTTTTTACTAGTACTAGAAATTTTTGTAGTTGTTGGTTAAATTTTTGTTGATGTAAATATATCATTTTCCGTCGCGGATTGTTCCTTTAAGGAACCGTATGATAAAGATTTCGGTATAGTAGTTATACGATTTATATTATCCATTTAAATATCTGTTAGCGATTTTATTTAAATGGTATTACGTAATAAAGTATACAAACAGAAAAGAAAGAAAAAGATTATGTATATATATATATATAGATATATATGCAGTCACTCGAAGCACACATAAGAAAGAGAGAGAAAAAAAAGAAATAGTATATATATATATATACGTTAGCGTCATGAATTTTATTCATGGACGCTAATAGTAAGACGTTTACTACATCATAAAAACGATGGCAACACCAACGGGTAAAGCACATTGTGTTAAATGTGGCAAAGAAAAATGCACATCAAGGTGTGAAGGGTGTCTACAAGACTTTTGTTTTAAGCATATAGGGGATCATCAGCAGGAATTACATGGACAGCTCAATCTAATAGAATTTGATCGTGATTTATTTAGACAATCACTTACTGAACAAACAAAGGATTCAACTGCTCATCCATTAAACAAGCATATTGATGCATGGGAACGTGTTTCTGTCGGAAAAATTCAAAACACAGCAAACAATGCTAGATTATTGTTGACTAAGCATATCAATGAACATATCAGTGGAATCGAAGCTAAACTTGATAAATTAACCAAGCAATTAAGACTGATTCGTGAAGAAGATGATTTTAACGAGATAACTTTACTTCAGTTGGACACAGAATTAACACGATTAACATCAGAAATGAATAAACCACCCAATATCTCAATTCTATCGGAGTCTTCATTAAATATCAGCAATCTTCGTGTCTATATATCTGGTAAGATTTTCAGATGTACTTCAACCAATGAAAACAGATATAAAAAAAAATCTTCAAACGTTATTTCGTTTCGAAAACGGGTGATCTTCCAGAGTTTATTTTCTGAGGATTGGAATTATATGTGGAAGACACATCTAGTTCTTGATTGCATCACGACTTTACAGCAAATCCATGCGAAGATTTTAATCATTTTTCTGACGAGTCTTATGTTGGGCTATTTTTTAATTGTAGATCATCTTGATTTTTCTGAAAATTTTAAAGATCTAATTTATCTTTTCCATTTAAAATGTTCTGACTTCTAGCATATTCATTTCAGATAGTGAAACTGCTTCGACTAATGAATCATCTGTCAACCATACAAGTGTTGCTGTTAGCTCTGTTGATGGCATTCAAACAAAATCAAAAGTCAGAATACAAAATGAACAAAGAATGGCTTCTTTAATGAACAGACTTGGTAAATTTATTTTATAGGATTTTGGTTTTTAATCTCATTATTTTATTTTTAGGCACAACTCATCTACAAATTGATGAATATTCTCGTCATCGTACTGAACAAATTTCAGGAGGAGTAGCTGCTGCTATTAGCGAAATTGTTGCTGACACTAGTATTCACCAACAAATGCTTTTAGCTGATGCAAATATACGTTTAGCAGCTATTGAAGAAGAATATAAACTTAAGTTACAAGAATATGTTAAAGAACTTGATGTTGTTAGAGCACAAGAATTATCAAAACATGAAAAAGGTTTAAATTTACATTCAGCAGCTATTGAAGTAGAATATAAACATAAATTACAACTATATGCTGAAAAAGTTGATGCTTGTAAAGCATCATGTTTCTCGCAGCTTGAAAAAGAGTACAATGTACGTCAAGAACTCATTCTTGAAAGTGCTCGAATGCGTATTGATGAGTTAAATGAAGAAGCTAATCGTTTGAAAATGGGTGTTTCACGTAAAGCACAAGCCAATGCTCAAAGTAGAAGTTATCACTAACCAATTTGCTGCGTAAGTTATTTTATTAAAAAAATAATGACACAAAATATGAATAAATAATTTTTAGTTTGAATGCTGAAGAGGCTAGTCATCTTTTGACATCAACTGCTACATCATCGCGTATAGCACTACTTGTTGTTCTGAGAAAAAAATAAAACTATTTTTATTTATTGAAGTTTTCTATATGTATACACATATTTTTCCTTATTTTCATCGATCATAGTAATACTAAGTAAATAAAGATTTCATACGAAATGTGTTTTAAAACTGAAAGGTACATTCAATCGACACATATACATCAATGCCGTTAATAACAAACAGAATCAAATCATCATATGGAAATGTTTTTTGAATTTTTTTGGAAGTACTGCGACATTCAGCTGTGTACTTTCACATCTTATACAACATTTTATAATAATTAGATATTCTTCTTAATAACTTTACTGGAAACTGTTCGTAGACACGAAATTTTATTATCCTGATAAAATATTGAAAGTATGATTTAGTAGTATTCAATAAGTCTTATTTCCAGTACGTTGTAAGGTTTGAGTGGATAAGTGTAAGTGAGAAACAATTGTATCGATCATATTCATTCCGATCGAACAGTATATTGCTTGCGGATGGGTGTGATATGAGTGTGTTTATATAGATGATTAGATTCAAAGCATCATACGATATTTCATCCTTGCTGGAAGGACTCATCAGATATGTTTTGAGTCTATAGCTACAGTGATTAGTAAAACCATTTAAACTATAATCTGTATAATAGTTTATATAGTAAACTACTAGCGAGATAAAGTATTTCGATTTTAAATACTAATTATAATGAATCGAGTTTATTCACATAAATGGTATGTTCATATAAAGAATAGGATTCAAAACATCATACAACGCGTTTTGACAATAGCTTATAAGAAGATTTAGATAAATACAAATAGCATAAACTCCGTTAACTTTATTAGTACATATCAATTGCAAAAAGTTTATAATACTAATAAACTGTCTATCTCTGTACATCGTTCCAAAGCTCGTTTAAATGGACAAATAATAGTTTCAGGTAGATTACTAGATATGCTCTATCATTTGATAGGATAAAAGGATCAATTTAACAAAGTTTTGTTTTCATATGAAACTGGTTTTCCAAAAATCGTACCTCTGGAAGTCTATGGAGAAATATCATAGTGATATTCGAAATCAGCATAGTAGATAGCCCTAGGTTCACTATATTTAATTAAAATATCGATTGATCAGTTGTATCGGTTCCCTCGTTAGAAGTGTCTAATATTGCATTCATCAATTATTATGTCTACCAGAGCAGTATCTTCTTAAAGATAAGCAAATATACCTTATATTGCTACTATATGATGTGCATACAAAACGTTTAGATTTTCTTATTTCTGACAGAAAAATCTACGACAAGTTTGGACTCAAATATGAAAAGATTTTATTTAATTATCTATCGTCAGCTACATTTTTGACTGTAAAACATCTGCTGGAGAAAAGTGGTGCCTAATTTTTGCTTCTTAATACGATGCGAAGCAAAAGATTTTTGTAGTCTTTTACATTTCAAGGTAATTAAAACGAAAAGAGAAGAGCAAAAGTTAGACAATGATAGATGATAAATCAGCATTCTTTCAACAATATATGAACTTAACTCGATTCAAGAATAATCATGAACATTCAGTCTTTATTTTAGAACGATCTGTTAATTATTCTCTCTTTGAATGAGAGAATACTCACTATACATCACAAACATTAGCATTCGATTAATTTCTTTATTCGCGCATTACTATTATTTCTTTAATTAATAATAAAATTGCGCTTGATATATTAAATTCATACTTGTAAAAATGATCATCGAAAATACTCAACAATATTTTCCTACTTATCAAACGAATAAAGTAATAGATTATTTAATATATAAAATAGAATATATTTCTTTGAAATACAGCATAATAATGAAGCAGCTGGTGATTCAATACATAGAATAAAAACTAAATTTTTAACTGGTAATCATAGTGACATATATAATGAACAAAAATATTGATTATTTCTATATAAAGATGAAACAAGTCACTTACTTGATGATATATTGAATCATCCATTATCTATTGATTATTTTAATGTTTATCTATCATTACCTGTACGTATTGAACAGAGTTCTTTTTACCTATATAAAAGAAATGATTCAGATATTTGGACAACGTGTTCTTTACCATCGTACAACTCATCAATTTGATTTTGATCCACCATCATTAACGCATCGGCAGGCAAGAATTTTTCAATATCCTGATCATTATCTTAATATATATACATACTTAGGAACAGATAGATAAAGAAACGAAACAATGGTTAATACATTACCGATTAAATAATTATATTCATACAGATATTTATATTGAAAGTCTTCTTGCTCTATTACTTATCGAGTCAGATGATATCAAAGAAGGTTATTTGAATGTCTTAGAATCATTTTCAACAGTAACTGATGTTCGACAATTTTATCAAGTAAACAAAAAGATTTCTTAAATATATAGAAAAACTATCTTTACCTATAGTTTCTTCAATCTACTTCTGGAATAAAATATTGGAATTTCTTTATTGATTCTATACGTTTACTTCGATCGCAATCGAATCGTATCGATATTTCACATTTAAATTTTATCTATAAATATTATTCTCAACAGCAAGAATTCCGTTCGATTACCGATACAGTTTGGTTTCAAATGGCTATCAATGCAATGTATCAATTACGTACATATTGGTTACCTCGTTATCTTGGTCAACAATCGAAAATAAATCCTTTTACAATCCAACCAGTTCTGAATCAAATTGAGAATAAGAGTATTACAACACTTTCAAATCATTCATCTCATTCTAATTCAACAATAAATGAACCTGAATTAATTAAATATACTCTTGATAATATTTCATATCTTAATTATAATCCTCAACAATATATACTCATTGATCCATCCAAAGAACATGATTTTCTACAAGATATCGAAACAGATATTAAGATAAAATTTGAAAATACATCTTCTGATCGTTCAATTGAAGACTATGCGACAGATACTAATCTCGAATTATTCTATCGTATACTTGTTTCAGACATGTTAGCTGGATTTCCATTTTTTGACTACATCTCTCAAACGATTCCACTTCAAAATTGTATTCGTTTTATTACTGATGCTGAAATTCTATTATCTATTCCTTCAGGAAATTTTCAAGAAAAAATTCTTCGACAATTTATCTCACGATACCTTGAAGTAACAGCTACCAATGAATTACCTACACAAATCTTTGATAATATCGATGAACAAAAAGTTGAATTGATTAAAGAATTACTAAACAAAAACAATCATGAATATTCTCTTCTAGGGAAAATTTTATTAAAAATTACAAAAGTAAAAATTATTTTTCTTTTAAAATATATACACATAGTTTTATTCAGTTTTTAATTCCACATTTTCTTAATTATATTAAATTCGATCGACTTCGTTTTCTTCTTCAAGTATATTCTATGACTTTAAACAGAAATCATCTCATCGATGAACTTCATCATCTTGTACCTCTGGTTAAATTCGAAACACTGCTATCAGATCAAACTACGAATGAAAAACAGACAAATTCTAATGAAATAAATATTCAAAATTGTAGCGGACAACCCATTGATTTTCTACATCGTACTACAACTGAAAAATTAGTTAATACTGATGAACAATGTGAATTTCCATCAGGTGAACGATTTCCTCCATTGACTGATGATGAACTTGAACAAGAATTACAACAATTCTGTCCAAAATTTAAATGGAAAGATATTAAAACTATCCTTGGTAAATCATTTCATGCACCAATTCTTTCTCATCAAGTAAATGATTTTACATACGAAATCGATCGTTATATAACAAATTTAATGAATGAAGGTCTTAATCTTTTACAAACAGATAGTATTTCAACTTCCATAGCATTTCTACAACGAATTACGAATGATATATCTTCTCATACAGAAATGAAATATCTTTCATTAATTGGTTCGTATTTTATTAATTCACCTAATGTACCTTCTCATCTTGAAACTAAATCGATTCACCAACAATTTCATGAATCATTTTATTTTTCGCCAAAAGATAAAAGTAATGAAATTAAAAATACTAGAAATGAAACATTTTATTCTGAAAAAATTGATCAAGAAAAATTATTTACATTTATTCAAAATGAAATCAATAATTCTCAATGGCCTTTACATGAATATATTGGTATGAAAGGACAACGAGCATGGCGAGCATTAAAATTAGCAGCAGATATATCAAATTTTAATAGCGAATTTACATTAAACTATCATCATGATTTCGATTGGATATCAAATGAATATGATTTAGGTTCATTTAATGAAAGAAATTATTTAATTATACGAGATTTCGAAAGACGTATCGAACAACAAAAATATTCGATTAGCAAAGACAGCTGTTAGAATAATCATTAGTAATACAGTTCTTATTATACACAACCAATATTTCTCTTTAACAAACTATGACATCTAATCAAATAATTATCAAGAGAAAAGAGGAAAAAAATCACGAGTGACATTTAGAAATTCTCTTCTGCATGATTGCATCTCGTCTTTTTTTAATAGAACAGACGGATTGCTAAACAATATGATTATCTTTATCTAGAAGAATCAATTCTGCTTGATCAAAAAAAAAGAAAAAAGATGCTTCAATGATTTTCATCACCACATGTGTTTAATAAGTTTAATAAATCTTATACCAGTTCGAATTTTGTTCGTAAAACAAGTATTTGACTTAATTATATGAAAAACTTGAAAATAATAAATTCTTTATATTATCATTTGTAGACAAAAAACAAAACAACAACAACAATAATAATGACAAACAAACACATTTTTTAACACAAAGTTTCTGTATAGTTTTGATTTTGTACATTCATATCATTCGAATAAATATCAAAATAATTTGGATTACTCCATTGTGATGTATGAGGAAAATATTGTGCAACTTCAAGATCACATGGATCATCAGATGGTGGTACTTGTTCATAAATATTATATGTTGGACGTTGATAAAATTGTTTTGGTTTTACTTTTTGTCCAATAGGTTTAAATGCACTAGGTTTATTACTTATAACATCACTTAATGAAACATAATTTGATCGATTATAATCATAATTTTTATTTGTATATCGATATGGATAATAATTTTGACAAGATGATGATGTTTCAACAGGATAATAATGATGACGACGAAGATTATAATTATTATTATTATTTGTATTTTCAAAATTAGCCATTGTAGCTAAACGACGATATGATGATGAATATTGCTGTGAATTATTGACTGTTGAATATTGATATGAAGGTTGATGAGAATAACATTCATTTATTGAAGTATAATTTTTATGTTGTTGAGATGTTGTTATTTTCATGTGATTATTATTATGTAATGGATGTACATATATAGAATAAACCTTTATTTTTGAAGAAACAAAACAAAAATATTTATAATTAGAAGAATAGTATGTATTTTTACCGGTTCAGTATGTGAGTTTTGTTTATAGACAGATGATAGATAATGAGGTTTTTGATTACATATCGAATTTTGTTTATTTGTTAATGCATAATTATCTTCTGACAAGTGAGATAATGGTGTTGTTGATGTTGCTTTACTACATGTTGTAATCGTAGATATAGGTGCTTGTGATGTTGACGATAATGATGATGAAAGTGATTTTGAAACTAATTTAGATTTTGCACGTTCATAGTGTCGACGTATAAAACTAGATATACGTGAAAGATTTTTATTGGGTAAAGATTTTTCATAAGTAGAATTTGTTGTTGTGACTAAAACCGTTCTTTTTTGTACTTGTGAAGATGAAGAAAATTTATCAAATGTAAGAGGAAGAATTTCATGAATTGATTGTGGAGATTCATTAGCTGATATTGCTGATGATAAATCACTATGATAACCACTTGAACTGGTCGTTTGCGGAGATATACGACGAGTATCAGTCATTGAAAGATTACCATTCGAACGCATTATTCGTGACGAACGTGATAATGGTGTTATTGGAAGTGATGTTAGAAGACAATCAAGACTTGCCCAAGCTAAAAGAAAAATAAATATACAATTAAAAAAGAAATATTTAGTTATAATCAAGGTCTACTATTTTCTTTTTGGGTGTCATATTGACATGAACGACAAAAAATTTTTTTTCTTCATTCGTAAGAACAACATTTCAGTTTCTGTTCTTTTCTTTATATACAATATACAATCTTTTGTTGATGATTGACGACGATAAATTTTTTTTAAGAGAAGCACACAATCTGTTGTCATACAAAGACGACTAGGAAGAATAAAACACATACACGCACACAGATATGAATTGGGTATACTTGACCAGAGAAAGAGAGAGGAGAAGAAGAAGAAGAAGAAGACGAAGAAGAAAAAGATAGATGCAGTAAGCATCATGGGGAACAATTAGTGTGATAAGTGGCCTCCACATACACATGTATATGCATACGACTCTTAAGAGCAATGCCTAATTTGTGTGCGCGCAATGAAGTAAAAGAGGATGCCGCGATGCCATATATAAAAATACATACAATCAATGACACAAGTGTATTCAGTGATGATCGTAAGGCGGCGACTATAATCAGTTACTCATAGATGTTATTGATGATGAGGATGATGTAACAGACTTATTGATATATTCAAAAAAAGTGGCTATAATAATACAATCTTCATATATATGTCTATGTATGTATATATGTATATATGGCATGGCAACGATAAAATGTCTAGCATCACTTCAAATCAATGCATACAATGTATCAATCTAATATATAAAAAAAAAGAACAAAAAGTATCGTTTGATCATATACATATGCATGCATTTATCATGAATAAGCCAAGCAAAAGCTGTAAAGCTTCATTATTATTTTCCAATCGAATGAACGAGAAAATATGCAGGCGGAGAAAAAAAATCGGAGAAATATTCTATATGATTATTGATTCAATTCAATTCTCTGTTTCTCTTTCTCGCTCTCTGTTCCTCTCTTCATCTGATTTAGACGGCATTCTTCAGACTCAACACATTTTCTTCTTTCATTTCAAGTATTGTATTTGACCATAGTAACAGACAGTAGCAGCAGCTATACAAGAGACATACTTACAAAAAAAATCATTATCATTATTCACTAGACAGAACCATATACTAGCACTATTCGTTATAAGAGTGTCAATCTCTTCTATATACTTTTATTTATATGAGTGTGTATATGGGATTGTCGCGACGATGTCGATATTATGATAACAAACTACATACCGCATATTCGACAATTACCTTTTGAGTTATGGTGAGAATGCTGTTGAGTACGTAGCAGCTGTTTCATCTCTTGACTGTCTGGTGTGAATGTCTTTCAAATCAAACTAGGGTACTGTCTTTCTTTTTTCGTCTTTATACCTTTAAGCATTGAACAATGAATGTACAACAGAGGGAGAGAGAGAGAGAGAGAGAGAGACAGAAAAAAGAAAAGAAAAGAAAATGAAGAGAAAAGAACTGAAACTTGATCAATCCTTTTTATGTGCATATGTGTGATTATGTCACTCACAATAAAATTGTCTCTTTCTCAAGCCTTATAAACTGTTTCTATTTACGTAAAGACATACATGAACTATGATGTTTAATTTTAAGTTTTATTAAAAAAGAAAAGAAAGAAAGAAAAATACTTACAGAATAGTTATAACAGGAATAATTATTAGTTTATATATATTTCTATCGAATAAATATACAAAAAACTGTATGTATGTAAAATGATCAAAAGTGGGATGGAGGGAGGAGGGTGGAACTTTGTATATCTCTCATTCTCGCTATCGTTTGTTCGTGCGTGCATGCCAACGTTATGATTACGTCAACATCAATTTCTATCTACGTATGTAAACAATCTAATGTCGACAACGGCGCCGGTCTCGTACATATGCAGACCTTTGTCCGTGAACGTATTTCCTGTAAAGGAAAAAAAGAGAACTATTTGCTTCATCTACTGTTTAGACTACATCTCTGTTCAGCATCATCAATAGTTTATTTCGGTGACATTCTTCATCTTCTTTCTATGTATGAATACAACGATAGAGAGAGAGAGAGAGATTGTAATTCAGAAATGATGAACGCGTGCAAGATTTGAATCTTTAGCATATAAAAAACACATTTGCATATTTTCTCATACTAATCCAAAGGCAGACAAAATTCTTTTTATCAATAAATATTACAATTTTCCTCTCAAGAGAATGACAACGAAGTGGTCAGTTCTTATACTGATTGAATTTATTGAACGGGAGAAATGCCGCATCTTGATATGAGCTCAATAGATTATCAATTAATGAACTACTGATTTTGTTTTTTTTACTTACTTAAATTGATTTGTTAAGTATATGAATATGAATATTAATCTGAAAATAATAGAAGAATTTATTCTCTAATGATTAGAATTCACAAACGTTCAATAATCAAAGAGAAAAGAAGATTAACTAAGTTAACCTTCCTGTCTGACTTTCGAGATACAATGTTAAAAGATAAAGTTTAGTTTAAGATTGTGTAATGAACGAAGCAAAAAGAATAACAATCTTCTTCAATCTAATCATTATAGAAATGATGAAGAAGCTTTAGATATGCTTATGTAGTGTACAAAACTCAATTACCTTGCTGTCGAATTATTCTGCTTGTTCTTGGACCTATCAGTATGCAAGCCGCGAGTGTTTGCTCTTGAACTTTAGCTTCATCTCTACGAGAAAAACTTGTCAACACGATTACTTCTTATGTTAGAAGTAAAAGGTTTCCTTTTCTCTCTCTCTCTCTCTTTGCCTTCTTCATCTCATCTCGTCTCTGTGTATGTCGATCTATCTATCTTTTTTCTTTCTAATAATCAATAATGCTCTTGATAGAACAAGAATATTAGAGTGGGAACCAGCTAACATATATATACATATTATATCATCTCTCATACGCGTTCTTCATCTTTCATCTTATTCTTTTGCTTAGTTATAGTAACAAACCGAGTGATAAGCTTTTTTTTTTGCATCTTTATATACACGTCCGTCTCGGCAAAGCATGATCAAAAAAACTATATAATAATCATATGTATACAAGACAATCATCATGATTATTCGTCTTCTTAGTTTTCTAACAGCTGTTAACAAAACTCGCAAGGTTCTTTTTGTTCTCATGCAATTGTTGAGCATCAATTATCAACATAGTGAATCCTAATCTCTTTTCAATACAACGTATACATGTTAAGAAGACAGTAGTATGCAACTTGCCTTGAAATTTTTTGTCCCCATACATATTACACATATTCATAGCCAAGAAGAAAAAAAAAGTAATATCTACTTATGTCATTGCTTTCTTTCCTTCTTTCTCTTTCAATCAAACATTAGCTTCTTGAAATATAATAACATTATTACATATAGACATAAAAATATTAATATCTACTTATGAATTCATTGAAATATAAATTACATTTGAAAAGGAAATTATATTAATATCCGTTACAATCTCTTACCTTTAGAAAAACACGATGAAAATTTTCATATGTTATTCTATATGAGAAATTGTATTGTATTATACAATTCAACTATCTCTACGGATGTGTGTACATTCGCCTCCTATATTTTTTTAACGTGTGTGTGTGTATATAGACAAATATATACACATGCATATATATATATCTTTCGTATATATGTTTATGTGTTTTGATCAAACAATCATCAATTGAGGCTATAAATATAGTGTTTATCAGGCGTAGTATCACGTTTATCAAAAAACAAAAAAACTAACTGTAAAGAAATATCTTAATAAACCGACGATAAATGCGATAAGATCTATTTTTATGATAGGAATAATGTGTTCTAATAATAACACAGAAAAAACCTATCCTGATGTTTATGTGAGAAGATGATTTATGCATGATGAGTACTAGTTGTCTATAAGAAATTGATTAATTCAATAAATAAAACAAAAAATTAATCATTATGACTAAAACACTTTAAGCATTCTATAACATATGTATATCAAGGAACGATGACAGTTGTCATCGATTTATTTATTTATTCATTAAGTCAATTGTAAAATCGGATAATTTAGAAGACCTTCGAAACAAGGATGAAACACGTTTGTAGGCAGTGTTGATTACATGAGTTAAACGAGAGAGAAATATTTGAGATATATTGTCTGATAGGTGTTGACATAAAGCTAAAAAAGACCTTTGTATACTATTACAAAATAACTATTAGAAATTTGTAGAAGTCGACTTTCATGGTCATTGAAATAAAGACAGTAGGAATGAATTAACATACTTACCAACAGTAGGCTTTTTTTCTGCATGTGTAGCTATTCAATAAAGTGCATAGGAATGAAATGAAATGAAATGAATGAATGTGCGCTGCTCATTTCATTGTTGTTGTTTTTTTGCCCTTAAGCATATTAAATTCTATGCCGGCGCTTGATAGTGATTTCAAAGTTAAAAACGACACATTAGAGTTATATACTCAATAAATGATTAATCAATAGGTGTTGTTTGTCACGATCATGAAAGATAAAATTTTTTTTTTTATAAAGGATGTTTGATGATGAAACAAAAGCGATTTTTATTCTTGATGAGATTAGTTCGTGAGAAACATGAGTGGTATAAAAACAAAAGAAGGCAATAAGTTAATTTAATTTAATAGAAAAGACTAATTCTTTTCATATACATATGTATATGTGTATTTAGATAGGCATACACGAGATGAAAATTTCTTTTTATTCGTTTATTTGTCATATATTTTCACAATCGATAACTCAGTCAATATTTTTCCAATTATTAACAAGGTCTTTTTTTCATTAAAAATACTCAACATATCGACCATGAACGAACGAGAAATTTTTTCTCCTATAAGAAATCTGTCATATACAATTACATTTTCTTAATTTCAAGATAGTAGAGAAAGAAAAAGAAAGACTTTCAATCCTTGAAATGTGCGACATGTCAAACATTCGATCATAATCAATTTATTTACATAATAACTGCATCATATATAGCAAAATATGTAATTTATTGAACTAAATATTTAATACATGTTGGTTTACTGACTTGTGCAGTCGAGCCAGTTGCTGTTAATTTTCCTGTTGTACTATCAATCGAAAAAACTACTAAATTATTTGAATCTTGATTAGCAACGATTAAATATTTTCCATTAGGTGTTATATTAAAATTTCTTGGTGTTTGACCTTGAACATTTATATGTTGAATTAATTCTAAATGTCCAATATTATTATCAACTTTAAAAACAGCTATTGAATTATGACCACGATTCGATACATAAAGATAATTTTCTGAAATTGGATGTAAAAGAATTTCAGCAACAGAATTCCACGCTGTAAAACCATCTGGTAAAGTTGATATTGTTTGAACAGAATGTAATGAAGGAAAATAATTGTAAACTGTTACAGTTGATTTAAGTTCATTTGCAACATAAACAAATTTTTGATTCGAATTAAAAACTAAATGTCTTGGTCCATCACCTAATCGGGCTATTTTAGTAGCTTGTATTCGTAATAATGAACCATTATTTGGAAAAAATCGATAAGTATAGATTTGATCTGAACCTAAATCGGCACTTAATGCATTCTGTTCAATTTTATCAAGTAAAATACAATGTGCATGAGGTGATCGTTGACGATCAGGATCAACTGATGAACCTGTTTGTTGATCAAATCCAGTATATTGTTTTAAACTTCCATCATTTGCATCGGTAGGTAAAACAGCAACAGTACCATTACCATAGTTAGCAACAAAAATATGTCCTCCTATTTTAGTTGTCGATAAATAACATGGAGCACTACCAGCAGATGATTGTTGATTAATGAATGTTAAACGTCCTGCTTGAGCCGAATCTATTTTAAATGCACTTATTCTACCATTATCTTCTTCATTAGCAGCATAAAGATATTTATGTGTTGGATGAATAAGTACATAAGATGGATTAGTTGTTGCTACAGCTAAACCTAATGGTGTAAGCGTTGATGTTGTATCATCGAGAGAAAAAGCATAGATCCCTTTACTATCATTTGGACCATCTCCTGTATATGTGCCAACATAAAGAATAGTTGATGTAGCTTTAGGAGATAATGACGAACACCAAGTATTCAATGGATCTATGAAAATAGTCAAGAAAATAAGATAATAAAATCAACATATGAAAACTTACTTAAAAGACAAATGAGAAAAATTAGTAAACGCATGATAATATTATCAGTTGAAATGAATACGACAATGTGCAGTATCAATTTATATATTTAAAAAAGAATAGATACAGCTGAAAAGTATTAGTACTAAATCCATTCAAAATTGGTATTTAGAGATATTTTAAGGACAGTATCATTATAAAGGTATTACGAAATCGATGGTTGAAATAAATACTAATGAAAAAAAAAACAATTGCTTAAGGTCGAAGAGCAACAGATATTAGTTTTTCATTTACTGGACGTACTTTTATCTATAAGAATCCAATTGTATCTATTCGGTTCCAAAAAGAATAAGCAAAATAAATACAATTCTATATATATATCAAACTTTTAGAACAAAGACAACAATAGACAGATAAAGGTTAATACTAATACTATAATTCATTCAATCATTTACGTATCTTTAGAAAGTATAATTTCTATGTTACACAAAATAAAAAATATTATTATTAGCGTCAATTATTTGAAACTTCAATATTTATCAGCATATTCCTTCTGAATGATGATAACAAGTATATTACAAAACAGTCCTAAGTGCACTATGTAATCTTATCCTTTTTTTGCAATATTAATACTTGTTTTTCTTTAATATAATTTTACGTATTTAAAAAGTTGATTTTTGAAATATTACTTTTATAGTATTCATTCTTTCTGATGTAATCTCAATTTTCTTGTCTTATACAGAGATATTTTAACATTACATTCAAATTGTATTTGATATAAAAGAGGATTTTTTCTATAAGATATTTAATCATTGTATTTACTTATTAATTATATTGCAAGAATAACAGGTATTTATTTTGATAAAAACAAACTTAACGTAATAGAATAAAAATTTTATTGATCAATATATTGAATAAGATAATACTTCAAACAATAGATTAACAGATTATCAAGATTAGTAAAGATCATAACTATTTTTAATGATCATATTAGAAGAAAATGGACAAATTTTTGCAACTGTGTTAAAGTTCTCTTCAGATTTTCGGTGTGTCATGGAGAAGATCAGGCATTGGAAAATTCATATATTCTTTTTTTATTTTTTTCCAAAAACGACAGATTTTGTGTATAAATAAGTGATTCTGAATCAAATAATGATTAATTTAACAAACCATGCAAATAAATAAAACGATGTGAAATGATCTCAGAATCTATTTTTTTCGTCATTATTCAGTCTTATAATATATATATATATATATATAATTGATATTGTTCGACGTATTTTTCTGCATGAAAGATTACAGTAATAAAAAACTATTAATAGAAAAACAAGCAATTTATATAAAAAAAACTGCGTATATCGGAATAGATTTTAATATATAAATACTTTCAAAAGTGCAAAACGACCTTTGAGGTTAAAAGTGCACATTGTATTATTCTATTCCTTGACTATTTGACAAGATCTAAAATGATTTTCCGTTGATAATAATAATATCAAATCGATTCTTATATAATACGTCGAACATATGACACGTTTTTTTTTTTGAGTACAAAAGGTTGTTATTGATGAACATTGAATGTTTATAATAGATCAAATATGTAAAGAAATCTTTTGGAATACACAAGAGTGAATCTGACTAGACATATAAATATGCATTCATACTGCTTTTTGTTATCAAGACATGTCAAGATGAATAAAAATTCATTGATATTTATAAAGACAAGATTGCAAAAGTCAATGAATATAGAATTTTTAGTTTACTTAGGCTGTGTTATTATTCTTATAAGAAAAACAAATATTAAATATACACTCACTTCATTTTTTTACAATAGAAATGAATTAGTCAGGTTTCTTATTAATCAGGAATTATATCACATTAGAGAAGAATTAAAAAGATTTTTTATTTGTTTTTGTTTATAATTCTAATCATTATTGTATTTGTTAATGTAAATGTGTAAAACTTATTGAATTAGAGAATCATTTAACATATAAATTGATAATCTAAACGCAAAATGAGTGCTTTTATTCTCGTGAGAATTAAATAACTATGTATTAATATCCTTTCCTTTTTTTTCTTTCTTATAGAAAGGATTCAATATTGAACATACTAGGAAATTTATGTAAATAATCATCTTAAGATAGTTTTCTTTTTTAAACATTATTTGATTATATTTAACCTTCTTGCCATATATACATACTGTAGATTTGATGGAACAACTGTTTTAAACCAAGGATACCATTATTATGATTGTATGCAGTCACAGCAAAAGCATAATAATGACAGACTCTCCAATTCATTAGTATATGATTTTCCTTTTTTTGCTTCTTCTTATACGATAGTTACTTTGATTATATAACTTCATGCTTGACGTTGATCGATAGATACTTTTCTTATAGTTCACTAGAAAATTATATGAAACTTTTTTTTATTCGAAAGAAAAAGATTTATTTTTAATAAAACAAATAATTGGTTAATTTTCTCATTATTGTCAATATGCTTAAAGGTATAATGACGTAAATATCATATAGAGTACTGATCATATTATCCATATTGCAACATTGATAAAGCTACATGGTAAACATAATATATGTTTACATGAGACATTCATACACACACATACGTAAATAATAAGATGATATAATTACTACGTAAAAGAAGTAACTAACTATGATCAATATTCAGATTATTGTTGACATGTAAACTATAAAAGAACAAGGATGATATGATACAATCCAATGTTTATAATAAACTTTAGAAGTTTTTTTTTTGTATATAAAATAAGTCAAATATAAGACTAAAATTTTTAAATAATTGATTGAATAGTCCATTAAAAAAAACTTTTTTTCCACCTTGTCATCTTACATCTTTATCTCTTCCTTCCTTCTTTCTTTGCTCTTTTGTTCTTTACGTCTATCTTGATTCATTCAATACAACAAAATAAAGAGCAGAAGAAACACAGAGGAGAAGAAGAAGAAGAGAAGCTTTATCAGAAGAAAAAACCAGAAAGAAATATAATAGTTATTCTCGTTTCTTGAAGCTAGAAATAAAGAGAACAATATTGAATAGTCGTGTATATATATATAAATAGAGAGGGACAGAGAGAGACTTCTATTTTTAAGTTTTATAATGAATATAACACATTAGTTTCTAATACGCGATACTGCCATTTAAAGATGACAGTTTTTTCTATCAATCTTTTCGTTGTCCACATATTTATACAGACGACAGAGATACATTGATTCTTCTGTTATTTTATTTCAAATAATATTTCTTCGATATTTGACAGTTTTGTCTATGTAAGTACATTGTGATCTTTTCCTATGTATCTTGTTCGTTATCTGTTTATTTTTTCTTTTTGCGATTGATGTGAGTCTGATTAGTATTATCACATATGTAAATGTATAGAGATGCCACTCAATATGAATGATGTTGATTGAACACGTTTTTTTCTTTGACTTATGGTTATAATAACTCTCTTTCATTATGTATACATTCCAATCTTTTCTTCTTAGTATATCATCTCATCACTACTATCATATTTTTGTAAAGTTCGTCTTTTACTTTCTTTGTCTATGCTTTTAAAAAAGAAAAGAATTTCTAATAGATTCTTTTTTTATGTTAATTGAATTCATAATAAGAACAGGTCATCATCATTATGATGTGAACTAATAAAATAAAGTACCTATCATTGACATATTAAGTATTTTATTGAGTACAATAATTTACTACTTAGATAATATTTATCTTTGATAAATCATAAAATTTTCTACTTTTAGAATGATATGAGTGACAATAATTTAACATTATTACATCATAATGAGTATGACTCAATTTCAAATCAAGATGAAACTTTAAGTTCACTTATCTTTTTTACGATTGTTTATGTTCTTGTACTTATATCTGGTCTTATTGGCAATTTTATTGTCTTATATGTTATATTAAAAAATAATGATTTAAAACATTTTACAAATTATTTTTTTGCCAACTTAAGTGCAGCAGATGTATTTGTACTTTTATTTTGTATACCAACTGCTATACATGATATTTGGGCAAAAGATCAATGGTATATGGGAAAATTTTTTTGTAAGTTATTCAAATTGATTTATTTTTTCTATAAAAAAAAGTTTATTTTATATTATAATAAAAAGGTTTGAGTAATCAATATATTGAAAGTTGTGCAACAAGTGTCTCTTCATTGACAATAACAGCAATAAGTTTTGAACGTTTTATTGCAATATGTGAACCATTTAAAGTATAATTCTTTCTTTTTTTTTTCTCTAATATATATATAAGAATAATTTTATTTAGGTTCATGATATATTCAATGAAACATTAACTTTAACTACTATTTGTTTAATATGGGCTATAGGTCTTATATTTTCTTTACCATTTTTAATTTTTGCTGTTTATGATTCATCATTTAATCCAACTGATTCATTAAATGATACATCAAATCTTCTAACAGTTTGTCAATTAAATGCTAATTCAAGTACAGCACGTGCTTGTATAACATGGTTCATTGTTGTACTTATATTTATCCCATTTTTTGTTTTAATATTTATATATGCACGTATTATACTTGAATTAGCTCGTCATCGTGCATTAAGTTTAACAGCTATAACAAAAACTCAACAACAACAACAATCATATGATGATGAAACAAATAGTTTGAATGGTGGTTTAACATCGAATATTGATAATCAACAATCACATTCATTTCTTGCTTATAAACGTTTTGAACAAAAACGTCTTAATACAGTTATTATTTGTGTTGTAACTGTAGCTTTTTTCGCATGTCAATTTCCTGTACGTATTATTCAATTAATTGATATGTATGGACGTGTAAGAAATGAAGAAATAATGGGACATTTAACATGGATATGGTTATGGAAATTATCAAAATTACTTTTTTTTCTCAATTTTACAGCAAATCCAGTAAGAACTATAAAAAAACAAGACACTAATTTTTATATTTTTTGTTTAAATAGATTATTTATAATATATTATCAACGAAATTTCGTCGTTCATGTCGACGTCTTTTTCAAATTCATCGTTCAATAAGTGCAATATCAAATTCATCACGTAAAGCAAGTATATCATCCTATCTTTATTCAAGTATATATAAGAAAAGTCGACGACAAAGTAGTTTACGTAATAATCCAAATCTTATAAATCAAAATTATCGATTAAATAAAAAATTAAGTTTAAAACGAAATATTGTTGATTCAAATCCAATGATTTCATTAATGAATAATAATATTAATAAACCGATTATTTATAATGATAGTGAAAGTCGAGATCTTGTTACAATTGGAAGTAATGAAGAAATTCCCACAACAACAATAATAAATAATACAAAACGTTCACAACATATATTTCAAGTATTAAATGAAGAAGAAGATGAAAATACTATTGAATAATCAACTCTTTTTTTCTTCTTTTGTAAATATATATATCTATGTATGTGTGTGTGTGTATGTATCTGTGGTGTACTTGTTTTTTAATTCAAAAAAAAAAAGGAACTATATATTATTTCTATGAGAATTATTTTGATTTATTAGATATTTCTTGCTTTTTTGTTTTATTATTAAAAAAAAAAAGATAATTTCTCATTTTTTTTCTATTATTTCAATTTCCGTTGATCTACAATAAAAGAAGACTGTTGTTTTATTAGATTTTCCGGTAGATGAAAAGCTAAAAATATAATCATTTTCTTTTAGATTTCAAGAGTTATAAATTTTATTCTATTGATGTCTTCTGAATGATTCATAAATTATTCTCAATGTACTAATATCTATAAATAACATATAGGACGCGTATACTATGTGTTTTTAACAATTGAAAGAATATAGAATTTATTTAATCTATGTTTACTAAACGATAGAATAATAAACGTCATTTTCTCAAAAAGTCAAGATCAGTAGACTCATTAGTTATTGTATAATTTATTATCGCTTGACTATTCGAAGTAGACAGACACTTGCTTTGAGATTATTAGTTAAGCGTACAAAATATCAAACGAAACATTGCATTTCTATTTTAGTCATGGTACGAAAAATCGAGAATATAAATACATTTTTAGATAGAAGAATCTAAGGCAACCGTTCAATTTTGAAATGTATGAAAACAGGTTTTTGCATTTTCTTATTAAATTTAATTCGGAAAGATTGCTCAATTGGGTATATTCGATTATTAGTTTTTCATACGATTTATTATAAGAAAACAGTTTTATGCGTCTGTTTTATTATTAATATGTATATCTCATCAATCATACTAATGTATGATAATAATGTAATAAATGATACTTTTGTTTTTGATGAAAACCGATCTAAATCATTGAAAAGAATAAGACGAACACATAAAATTAATTAAGCAGAGAACGATTCAATCAATAAAACATTATTAAAGGCAATGTTATATTTATATTCATCGTATACTTTGATCATTTTCGGAAAGAATTATGTTGTTTTGTTATTAAGGATGTATTTGATTTAACAGACAGACTCGTGATCTAAGATCTTGTATGACTAATGTTATTAAAATAGTTCTATATATTTGTTGTAGGTAGAACCGGAATTTACTCGAGTCGATTGTGAATTCTAATTTGTCTGAATAAACTCAATGACGTACAAAAACCAATAATCAAGATATAAATAGAGTTATGAGTAACGTCAAAAGGAAAGAATAAGATTATATGTAAATAATTGGGTGCAATTCGTTTTATTCTTAATCAGATTCATATTAATTTAATCTTTAAAATGGTTAATTGTACTTTTATTAGTTTCATTTTATAAAATAATCAATAAGGAAAATTATATGATAAGACAAAGTTATTGTTGAAGAAAAACTATACAAATCGTAATTATTAGACATTTTGATAAAGTTGTGTAATTGATACAAATGATTGAGATAAATGTTTCACACAGTTTGGTAATGGAGAATATTCACCGGCTGTTACTGTATTCTATAAATAAAATTTCAATTATTATTTAAAATAATATTTCAATTCTTACAGATGATAATTGAATTTGTTTAATTTTGAAAAGAATTTCATTTTTTATTTCTGGTGAATCTGATTCAATTGCACAACTAGCACATTGTTCAGTTTGAGATGAAAATGAAAGAGTATAAGCAGGTTCCTAGTAAAAAGAATTCCAAAAAAATGAAATTATTTGTTTTATTCGTTCTCTTACTCGACACATTTTATATAATAAATAAAATAAATCCATATTAAGAATAAGTTCTTTAGTTGCACGTGTTGTTGCAACATAAAGTATATTTAAATTTTCTCGTTGTACATCAAGAGATATTTTATCAAGTGTAACATCACTTGAACGTGGAAGAAAATCATCAGCTAATATAACAATCGGAAATTCTAAACCTTTAGCTTTATGTGCTGTTGAAAGAACAATTTCTAAATAAAAATATATTTTATCTAAAGAATAAAACGGGTTTGTGTTTTTTCGTACTAGCTTGATTTATATCTGAACAAGATTTTTCTTGTAATTGTTTGATTTTATCAATTAATGAATGACCATGTGATTGAACAAGTTTTATTTTTCCTATTAATTCTGTATCAGCTACTTCTAATGAAAATTTTTCAAAAGTTTTAAATGATTGAAATGATTGTATTTGAGGATCTCGTATTTGATAATTTTCTAAATAAAATTATTGTAATAAATAAAAAACTACAAAGATATTCTACTTTTTCGACGTTCTTCAGGATCAAGCCAAAGATAGAAGATATCAAGAATTCGATCAAATCCCATTGCTTCTTTACCCTAACATAAAAATTAAAGAGATAAAGAAAAAATATATTAAAACTGTTGACTTACACCAACGAAACCAACATTTTTCAATCCTTTTTCAATAATAAGTTGTACAGCACAATTAAATAAACTATAATTTGTTCGAAAAAGATAAGCTTTTTGTTCATTTACAATATTTTCGATCGATGCTGATCGACCATCAAGACAACCTAGAACGAAGTACACAGATATTTTAATTATGATAGTTAAAATTTCTACTTAACAAGATGATAAATTAATTTAATGCGTAAATGCCTTATTTAATTATTGCTTAAGTTATATTTAGACTGACATAGATTCACTTTACTCTAATCAATTATTCTTTAGAAATTATACTTAATATTTTATACATTATCTTTTTTTTAGGAACTCATGAATATAACAAAGTAATACGTACTTGATTTATTATTTCCTACAAGATATTTTTTTTCATTGCATAGTTTTTGAAGAATAAGATTTGATATGAATGCTATATCATATCCAAAACGAAATGACTAAAAAAAAATGTTTATAAAGAAAAAAAATCAATCGATTAAATGTTCAATTCTATACTTTAGTTAAATAATAAGTAACTGTCGATTGAATTTTCATCATTGCATCAACTGCACCACGAAATGCGTATATTTGTTGATGTTTATCACCAACAAGTATTTTTGAAACACGTTGACTATTAACAATATCAGTAACAGCTATACAAAAAAACCGACAATTATAATATTTTTAAAACTCATTTATTATACCTGGTGTAAGATCTTGAGCTTCATCAACGAATAAACAATCATATAATTGTATTTGAGGTTTCGATAATTGATATAATTTAAGATAACCCTATGAAATAAAAAAAATTCAATTGAAACCAATTTCTTATGAGATAAACTAACGTCATGTGTCATTAATACACGTTTATCTCGAATATTTTTCATAATTGACCAAACATGTCTGGCATCAGCTGCTAAATTCTAATTAATAAAACAATAAATTAATGAATAATGAAAATAATGAAGAAACCTGTTTTTCTTGTAATGTTAAAGCGAGTTCATTACTTAATTGATTCGATGAAGAATTATCAACATGTTCATCTGTTATTTCAAAATCAGCTGAAGCAATAAAATTATTTAATGTATTATAAACAAAACGAGCACGAATATATAAAGAATTAATAGATCGACCTTTTTCACCAATAAGTGGTCGATCATTAACAATATCCACAATACTTTTTAAACGTAAATTACCAAGACAACCATCATATTGACGACTAAAACATAAATATATGTTCAGATTTTCTTTTATTCTTATATATTTTTCAAATACCCAATCTTAGCATAAGCAAGTGAATGAACTGTTTGACATTTAACATTTGGTGGAAAAACTTTTTCTGCATATGTTTGAATAGCTCTATTAAATAATGATAAAGAAAATATGGGAAATCTTTTTATTTTATTTCATATACTTATTATAAGCTATATAAAGAAATGATTCATCCATTCGTTTTGCCGCATAAGCAATTAATGTTGTTGTTTTACCTGTACCAGCATATGCATTAATTTTCATAGTTTCTCGATTCTCTAAATTGTGACATACAATAACTTCTTGTTCAGGTGTTAATAATAATTTTGTTAAACTAAATAAAAATAATTGACTAAAGATTGAAGAATATATATATATATGATTTACATTGTTGAATAGGTTGTGTAAGATGAATCATTATTGAGAATATATTGAGCAATAGGATTGTATTTAATTAATGTTTGATCTTCAAATTCTTTTAAACAATAATATAATCGATAAGGATATCTAGGAAAATAAAGAAAAATATTTGATATTTTCTATAGACCTACATTATTGTTTCATGTATGAGAATTAACTAAGATTGTCCATTGGAAAAAACATAATCTCTCTATTATAAAGATTTTACTGTGACAATGATATTGATCATATGCAACAGTACTCAAACAAACATCTTAAATCATTTCTGACTATAGAGTAGCGATTAGTTTCAGAGAGGAAAAATTGCATTGTGTTCGGTGGACTGTCTGATTCGTACATATACTGAACATATTGTCTTGATGTTGACAAGTGGTAAAACTGATTCGTCAACATGAAAAATTTATATCGCATAACAGATATGAAAGTTTTTCAAGAACTATACGAACCGAAATTGAAGATTACATAATCGAGTAGCACCAGTAAATAAAGTTAAAAGAAAATAAAAGAAATCCATTATAGTTTCATATTTTAATTGGTCCATTGTCATCCAAAGATGAAATAATTCACGGATACATTGAATATCATCAGATAATATGCAAATAGCTGTTGTTGTACAAAGTGGATTAAATATCTACAATTCATATATTAGTAAAGAAATTTAATTCAATATATTATTTACTTTTTCATTTGAATTTAAGAATTGAAATTGTTGTTGAAGTTTATTTTTTGACAAAAGATCAATAGCATACTGATAGATTGAATGTTTTTGCAATCGTTTATTAAGTTGAATAAGTATTGACATTGAAAATTTAAATTGAATTGTTTTCTCATTCATAATATTATCATTAATAATTGCAGATACTTGTCTTTATAAATGAAAACAAATATAAATATTAGTATTATGAATCTTTTTAGTCACGTTTCTAATTATTTTATTTCGATTAACTGAACCTATATTACAATTTTTAACTATTAGCGTTTTGAATACATACTGAAGAATACTTTGTAGTATATTATCCGAAGGATTAATCATTTGATCAATCATTCTTAATGTTCTTATTTCTTCATATTCATAACGTAAATGAATTTTAGCCCAACGAAGAAACTATATATAATCAATAGAATAATATTTTACAAATAAATAAAGAATAAAACAAACTTTTTCATCTCGAATCACATTATACCATTTTCGACATACACCAGCAATTTGTGTTATTAATGGTTTAATTGGAATATATGAAAATATATGTTGAATAATTTCTAAATAAAATAGGAATTTTAATATTAATAATTTTATATCTTGTAAATTACCAGTTGGTAAATCAAGCCATGGTGGAGGTGGTGAAGAAGTATTATTTGCTTGTAAATTGATTGATGAAACTGATACAACATCTGAGAAAAGACTGGATTTTTTTGTTCGTTTTTTTTCGAATGTATTTGCATTTGTCGATGAATTTGTTAATTTTCTTTTTGTAGTTGTTGCTGTTGTTGTTGTTGTAATAACTTCTGAATATCGTTTTTGTGTTGTAGGAATAAAGTCATCTTGATCAGTATCTTTTATAGAATCAGTAACAAGTGCAGCGAATCGACCTAATGAAGCTCGTTGTTGAGTCGAAGTATTAAGGTTATTTCCTAAGAAAGAAAATATTAGAATTTCAAAAGAAAAGACTATATTCACTTATTCACCTTTTTTAAACATTTTCTTAATGAACAAAAAGAAAAACTTTTAATCAATTATTGGGTACATTTTAAAGCGCGTATTAAAACAAAAAGAAAGGAAATAGCGCCATCTTTATCGTAAATTTGTTTGGACGATATAATATCATGGTAAACGTTAATGAAAATTGAAAAGACATATTCTCTTTTTTTTCATTATCGTTGTCTATAAAAATTCCTAAATGGATAGTAAAAGTAAGATATATAAATATATATGAAATATTTTTTAGTAAAATTATATTTTTAGGTGAAGAAATTAGTTCAATATTTGAACGTTTTCGTCAATATCTTATGATAAATGACATAAATTTATTAATAAACGAATTTAATCATTATCGTACAACATGGTCGACAAATAAATTTCGTATGTTTTTAACAAATGCTCTCGTTGTTATGCGAACATGGGCAGATAGTCAACAACAAATAGTAAAAATTGATGAAAATGAAGACTGGGATGCTGAAGAAATACCATCAACTAATTCAACAATTGCTGAAAAAATGAAAGCATCTGCACATTATTTATTTATTTCTATTGTCGATTATTTACAATCAGCTGCTAAATCAGGACAAACAGATCGTATGCCGACAGATGTTGAATTTGATATGTGGAAACGAATTGTTACAAATAAATGGACTATGAATGAAAAGGTATCTATTAACAACAATAACATACATCAAAAGTTTCACATTATATTTATATATTTGTATGACTAATTATAATATAAAAAACACAGAAGTAGAAGAAATTTTGAGTTTAAACTTGATCAATAAGTTGAATTACATTCGAATTTCTTTTTTTCAAAAGAAAACAAACTGTCTATCTAGAAATAAATACAACTAATCCGATTTATTTTTAACATATGACTAAAATTTGAAGTCAATGATAATAAGATATTGTTTTTACTTTTTAGTTTTATATTCATATTTATAATGAACATATATGTTTACCAACTCGTTTAACACGTTCACTTCATAATGAAATGTATGAGTTTTATACTTCAACAAGTACATGGTCATCATCAACAAAAATTCTTCTGATCGAATTAGGTTTCGTTTATTTATTAATTCATGATAATGTATTTCTTGGTTGTAATCATGTTTTATCAGCTAATACACTTTTTAATCTTGATGATTATATTATGTTAACTAAACATAGTCAAACAAATCCAACAAATTATCAAACAAAATTAATAATATCAATGAATACACCAGAAAAAATGAAAATATTTTTAGACTATTATCCTAATGTTGATTTAACAGAATTAATATCGGGTAATAGTGAACTTTATCAACAACGAACACCATTAACAATATTTGATAGGCTCTTAAAAATGGAACCATTTTATTATGAAACAATTGATCATATGCCTCTAGTAGAAATACCAAATTTTACTTCAGATCATTGTAATGTTCGATCAGCAAATATGTTATATTTATTTCAAAAACTTATCTGTAATGGTGCTAAAGTAAATAAAAGTATAATCATTTTAAATAGAGATTTGTATGATGTAGAGAGATATAAAGTGTTGTCTCCTCAGAAAATGAACATATATAGATAATTACCTTAACTATTTGATCTTATGCGGTCTCTTACTAATAGACTATAACAAATATTAACTATTCTTTTTTTTTCTTAGCTTTCAATAACACTCGATAGTGCTTATTATCAAAATCATCGTATTCCATTTTTTGTTACTACACTTGGTTTTTATCTTCTATCAATAATTCATTTTCGTAATACATTTATTATTCCGTTACTTGAAGCAGCCGATGATAGTGATAATGATATTCTTCCTAATTCATTAACAACAACTAAAACAAATCAAAATATAAATCCAACTTATTTTGATTCAATAAATAAAAATTATATTTATTATCTTATAAAACGTGCATCAACATTTTCACCATTATTTCGTTCATTTTTTTTCAATCATTTAAATATATCCTGTCCTTTTTTACATAAAACAGAATTTTTAAATCATATGAA